CAGTGAGGCGGGTGCTCTCGGTGACGTAGGGTCTCACCAATACAGGCAGGGTGTTGTCCGCGTGCCCCACGTGCCCCACATGTGTAGTGTCCCGTATATCGGCGGGCAGGGGCACCACCACAGTGAGGCGGGTGCTCTCGGTGACGTAGGGTCTCACCAATACAGGCAGGGTGTTGTCCGCGTGCCCCACGTGCCCCACATGTGTAGTGTCCCGTATATCGGCGGGCAGGGGCACCACCACAGTGAGGCGGGTGCTCTCGGTGACGTAGGGTCTCACCAATACAGGCAGGGTGTTGTCCGCGTGCCCCACGTGCCCCACATGTGTAGTGTCCCGTATATCGGCGGGCAGGGGCACCACCACAGTGAGGCGGGTGCTCTCGGTGACGTAGGGTCTCACCAATACAGGCAGGGTGTTGTCCGCGTGCCCCACGTGCCCCACATGTGTAGTGTCCCGTATATCGGCGGGCAGGGGCACCACCACAGTGAGGCGGGTGCTCTCGGTGACGTAGGGTCTCACCAATACAGGCAGGGTGTTGTCCGCGTGCCCCACGTGCCCCACATGTGTAGTGTCCCGTATATCGGCGGGCAGGGGCACCACCACAGTGAGGCGGGTGCTCTCGGTGACGTAGGGTCTCACCAATACAGGCAGGGTGTTGTCCGCGTGCCCCACGTGCCCCACATGTGTAGTGTCCCGTATATCGGCGGGCAGGGGCACCACCACAGTGAGGCGGGTGCTCTCGGTGACGTAGGGTCTCACCAATACAGGCAGGGTGTTGTCCGCGTGCCCCACGTGCCCCACATGTGTAGTGTCCCGTATATCGGCGGGCAGGGGCACCACCACAGTGAGGCGGGTGCTCTCGGTGACGTAGGGTCTCACCAATACAGGCAGGGTGTTGTCCGCGTGCCCCACGTGCCCCACATGTGTAGTGTCCCGTATATCGGCGGGCAGGGGCACCACCACAGTGAGGCGGGTGCTCTCGGTGACGTAGGGTCTCACCAATACAGGCAGGGTGTTGTCCGCGTGCCCCACGTGCCCCACATGTGTAGTGTCCCGTATATCGGCGGGCAGGGGCACCACCACAGTGAGGCGGGTGCTCTCGGTGACGTAGGGTCTCACCAATACAGGCAGGGTGTTGTCCGCGTGCCCCACGTGCCCCACATGTGTAGTGTCCCGTATATCGGCGGGCAGGGGCACCACCACAGTGAGGCGGGTGCTCTCGGTGACGTAGGGTCTCACCAATACAGGCAGGGTGTTGTCCGCGTGCCCCACGTGCCCCACATGTGTAGTGTCCCGTATATCGGCGGGCAGGGGCACCACCACAGTGAGGCGGGTGCTCTCGGTGACGTAGGGTCTCACCAATACAGGCAGGGTGTTGTCCGCGTGCCCCACGTGCCCCACATGTGTAGTGTCCCGTATATCGGCGGGCAGGGGCACCACCACAGTGAGGCGGGTGCTCTCGGTGACGTAGGGTCTCACCAATACAGGCAGGGTGTTGTCCGCGTGCCCCACGTGCCCCACATGTGTAGTGTCCCGTATATCGGCGGGCAGGGGCACCACCACAGTGAGGCGGGTGCTCTCGGTGACGTAGGGTCTCACCAATACAGGCAGGGTGTTGTCCGCGTGCCCCACGTGCCCCACATGTGTAGTGTCCCGTATATCGGCGGGCAGGGGCACCACCACAGTGAGGCGGGTGCTCTCGGTGACGTAGGGTCTCACCAATACAGGCAGGGTGTTGTCCGCGTGCCCCACGTGCCCCACATGTGTAGTGTCCCGTATATCGGCGGGCAGGGGCACCACCACAGTGAGGCGGGTGCTCTCGGTGACGTAGGGTCTCACCAATACAGGCAGGGTGTTGTCCGCGTGCCCCACGTGCCCCACATGTGTAGTGTCCCGTATATCGGCGGGCAGGGGCACCACCACAGTGAGGCGGGTGCTCTCGGTGACGTAGGGTCTCACCAATACAGGCAGGGTGTTGTCCGCGTGCCCCACGTGCCCCACATGTGTAGTGTCCCGTATATCGGCGGGCAGGGGCACCACCACAGTGAGGCGGGTGCTCTCGGTGACGTAGGGTCTCACCAATACAGGCAGGGTGTTGTCCGCGTGCCCCACGTGCCCCACATGTGTAGTGTCCCGTATATCGGCGGGCAGGGGCACCACCACAGTGAGGCGGGTGCTCTCGGTGACGTAGGGTCTCACCAATACAGGCAGGGTGTTGTCCGCGTGCCCCACGTGCCCCACATGTGTAGTGTCCCGTATATCGGCGGGCAGGGGCACCACCACAGTGAGGCGGGTGCTCTCGGTGACGTAGGGTCTCACCAATACAGGCAGGGTGTTGTCCGCGTGCCCCACGTGCCCCACATGTGTAGTGTCCCGTATATCGGCGGGCAGGGGCACCACCACAGTGAGGCGGGTGCTCTCGGTGACGTAGGGTCTCACCAATACAGGCAGGGTGTTGTCCGCGTGCCCCACGTGCCCCACATGTGTAGTGTCCCGTATATCGGCGGGCAGGGGCACCACCACAGTGAGGCGGGTGCTCTCGGTGACGTAGGGTCTCACCAATACAGGCAGGGTGTTGTCCGCGTGCCCCACGTGCCCCACATGTGTAGTGTCCCGTATATCGGCGGGCAGGGGCACCACCACAGTGAGGCGGGTGCTCTCGGTGACGTAGGGTCTCACCAATACAGGCAGGGTGTTGTCCGCGTGCCCCACGTGCCCCACATGTGTAGTGTCCCGTATATCGGCGGGCAGGGGCACCACCACAGTGAGGCGGGTGCTCTCGGTGACGTAGGGTCTCACCAATACAGGCAGGGTGTTGTCCGCGTGCCCCACGTGCCCCACATGTGTAGTGTCCCGTATATCGGCGGGCAGGGGCACCACCACAGTGAGGCGGGTGCTCTCGGTGACGTAGGGTCTCACCAATACAGGCAGGGTGTTGTCCGCGTGCCCCACGTGCCCCACATGTGTAGTGTCCCGTATATCGGCGGGCAGGGGCACCACCACAGTGAGGCGGGTGCTCTCGGTGACGTAGGGTCTCACCAATACAGGCAGGGTGTTGTCCGCGTGCCCCACGTGCCCCACATGTGTAGTGTCCCGTATATCGGCGGGCAGGGGCACCACCACAGTGAGGCGGGTGCTCTCGGTGACGTAGGGTCTCACCAATACAGGCAGGGTGTTGTCCGCGTGCCCCACGTGCCCCACATGTGTAGTGTCCCGTATATCGGCGGGCAGGGGCACCACCACAGTGAGGCGGGTGCTCTCGGTGACGTAGGGTCTCACCAATACAGGCAGGGTGTTGTCCGCGTGCCCCACGTGCCCCACATGTGTAGTGTCCCGTATATCGGCGGGCAGGGGCACCACCACAGTGAGGCGGGTGCTCTCGGTGACGTAGGGTCTCACCAATACAGGCAGGGTGTTGTCCGCGTGCCCCACGTGCCCCACATGTGTAGTGTCCCGTATATCGGCGGGCAGGGGCACCACCACAGTGAGGCGGGTGCTCTCGGTGACGTAGGGTCTCACCAATACAGGCAGGGTGTTGTCCGCGTGCCCCACGTGCCCCACATGTGTAGTGTCCCGTATATCGGCGGGCAGGGGCACCACCACAGTGAGGCGGGTGCTCTCGGTGACGTAGGGTCTCACCAATACAGGCAGGGTGTTGTCCGCGTGCCCCACGTGCCCCACATGTGTAGTGTCCCGTATATCGGCGGGCAGGGGCACCACCACAGTGAGGCGGGTGCTCTCGGTGACGTAGGGTCTCACCAATACAGGCAGGGTGTTGTCCGCGTGCCCCACGTGCCCCACATGTGTAGTGTCCCGTATATCGGCGGGCAGGGGCACCACCACAGTGAGGCGGGTGCTCTCGGTGACGTAGGGTCTCACCAATACAGGCAGGGTGTTGTCCGCGTGCCCCACGTGCCCCACATGTGTAGTGTCCCGTATATCGGCGGGCAGGGGCACCACCACAGTGAGGCGGGTGCTCTCGGTGACGTAGGGTCTCACCAATACAGGCAGGGTGTTGTCCGCGTGCCCCACGTGCCCCACATGTGTAGTGTCCCGTATATCGGCGGGCAGGGGCACCACCACAGTGAGGCGGGTGCTCTCGGTGACGTAGGGTCTCACCAATACAGGCAGGGTGTTGTCCGCGTGCCCCACGTGCCCCACATGTGTAGTGTCCCGTATATCGGCGGGCAGGGGCACCACCACAGTGAGGCGGGTGCTCTCGGTGACGTAGGGTCTCACCAATACAGGCAGGGTGTTGTCCGCGTGCCCCACGTGCCCCACATGTGTAGTGTCCCGTATATCGGCGGGCAGGGGCACCACCACAGTGAGGCGGGTGCTCTCGGTGACGTAGGGTCTCACCAATACAGGCAGGGTGTTGTCCGCGTGCCCCACGTGCCCCACATGTGTAGTGTCCCGTATATCGGCGGGCAGGGGCACCACCACAGTGAGGCGGGGGTGCTCTCGGTGACGTAGGGTCTCACCAATACAGGCAGGTGTTGTCCGCGTGCCCCACCGTGCCCCACATGTGTAGTGTCCCGTAGTATCGGCGGGGCAGGGGCACCACCCACGAGTGAGGCGGGGTGCTCTCGGTGACGTAGGGTCTCACCAATACAGCAGGGGTGTTGTCCGCGTGCCCCACGTGCCCCACAAGTGTAGTGTCCCGTATATCGGCGGGCCGTGGGGCACCACCACAGTGAGGCGGGTGCTCTCGGTGACGTAGGGTCTCACCAAGAGCAGGCAGGGTGTTGTCCGCGGGCCCCACGTGCCTCCACATGTGTAGTGTCCCGTATATCGGCGGGCAGGGGCACCACCACAGTGAGCGGGTGCTCTCGGTGACGTAGGGTCTCACCAATACAGGCAGGGTGTTGTCCGCGTGCCCCACGTGCCCCACATGTGTAGTGTCCCGTATATCGGCGGGCAGGGGCACCACCACAGTGAGGCGGGTGCTCTCGGTGACGTAGGGCGCCGCCACCAGCCGGGCCGCGCCCAGGACCCGACCTACCTCCAGCTGCATCACTCGCTGAAATGTATTTTATTTTATTTATAGTTAAAGAAAAAATTAAGCAAGTAATTGCTCGATGTGATGTGATGATGATCCAAAAAAATATAACTAGAAAAATTTCACGCAGGTAAAGAAAATATAACACGAAAAAAATTTCACGCGGGGAAAAAAATGAAAAAATATAACCATGCGGTTTCTTTAGACTTAAACATCACACAGTTACATGCTTAAAAAAATGGTTGCCTGTAAAGTCGGTTTTACGGGCGAAGATTTTACGTGACAACGTCTTTTTCTCGGTAGAATATTTATTGATATGAATATAATTAAATTGCACAATAGGAACAAGGAATTGAATGAAAATAAGAATTGCACAAATTTTAACTATAGAAATATATTTTGTTTACTAAAACATTGTACATGTAAACTTAAACTTAACACGAGAGACTCATCGTAACGTTACCGAGCGTTACACTTTTTCATAAGTGACTCCCAGCCGCAACCTAATTTAAGACGTTGTCACGTCAAAATGTGTGCGTGTACTAGTGTACACACGTAAGAAGTGAAACTTGTTTATGGCCTTATTTTTTTCGAAAAATGATCTACATGCAACTTTCCAGAAATATATAGGTATATAGGCGTGCGCTAAGATTTTTCAAAAACTCACCCACTAAAGGGGTATAACTACACCTTACCTTACCTTGTGTGAAACACGAATATTTGCTGTCGATACTTTTTGACGTGACAACGTCTTAAATTAGGTTGCGGCTGGGAGTCACTTATGAAAAAGTGTAACGCTCGGTAACGTTACGATGAGTCTCTCGTGTTAAGTTTAAGTTTACATGTACAATGTTTTAGTAAACAAAATATATTTCTATAGTTAAAATTTGTGCAATTCTTATTTTCATTCAATTCCTTGTTCCTATTGTGCAATTTAATTATATTCATATCAATAAATATTCTACCGAGAAAAAGACGTTGTCACGTAAAATCTTCGCCCGTAAAACCGACTTTACAGGCAACCATTTTTTTTTAAAGTTGACAGAAGAAGCAATTGTTCGGATGAGGTAAATAGTGCTCTTTTAAAAAAAAGATGGCGCGTAACCAAAAAACGTGACGCGTAACCGAATAAAAATGTGACGGTAATTTTTTTTCCCACGCCGATAAAGAAGTTTCACTTCAATAACTATAGTTGCTATTTCTTCTTTTAAATGTTAAATACTTGTAAAGGACATTGGGCAAAAATGTATGGACGCTGCACCCACGTCCGCCACGGCTTAAACTACATTTGTTTGAAAGGTATCATCTGTGCCAAAGCGCATACAATTCCATCCCGGGGGTCTTTAGTTATTTTAAGTTAAATATGTAGATGTACTATAACGAACGAACATTAATGAAACAAGGGAATTAATTTAGTTAGTTAGTTCGACCCTACATAGGGTGCTCAGGAATTATTGGAGTACTTTATATGGTGCATATGGGTTGGGTTTTTTTTAAACATTCTGTTCGTTATAGTAAATTGTCTTCTATGTAAAATGGAGCGACCACAGATTACACAAACTTGTCCACGCTTCGGAGAACACATAATTCCAGTTTATCCATACTAATTGACAAAATCGATAATAAGGGACCGCACAATCACAACGAAGTAAGACGAGTCGACTATTTGCAACTGCAAGTCCTTCAGCATTCGTAAACCGTTTTGAAATGTCTTAGTAAGAGCAAGCGCAGGATGATCGGCAGGCTTTGTCGTATATCTGGTTGTATAATACGACATGGCATATTATTATGATTACTAATAATATATAATATATATACATATCTATTGGTATCGATTCTGACATGATTCTCTAAACCTAAACTTAAATTTGACAACAGTGCATCCTTGTCATTCTCTATACAGAGTGAAAAGGAAAGACTGATGTTAAATTTAGTTTTGAGTTTAGAGAATCACGCCAGAATCGGCACCATTGACTACCAGGATATTTTTTACGGTGTCATATCTTTTGACTCCCAGGATATTTATTTTCGGTGTCATAATAAAAAAGGCTAGTTTTTCTTAGATCTATCGATTCATACTAATTACATTGTTGGCGGAGCTGGGTGCGTTTTGCCCATTGTCCTTTATTCATTTGACGTTGTGGGTTACCTACAATGCGAGGAGATGGCGTTGCCTTGCAGATTAAGAAAGACTAGAAAGAATTCGACACGACCATTAGGGTTTCAGTAGCATAATAGTTAGTGCATTCGCCCGGATAGTGAAGGGTGCGGATTCGAGTCCCGTTTGCTGCTTAATCCACGTGGATATTTTTATTTATTTTATTTTGTTAAAAAGGGCGATAACGAAGCATTATCAATAGTAGTTTATGAGACTGTCATATAAGATGGGGTATTAAAACACGAGAGTTTGTTATTGAGTCGATAATAGGTTGACTCGAGTATTTTGATACCTAAACTATTTACAGTTTTATACACTGCTTTATCTGCATAAATAGGAACAATTGGAATTAAACGAAGAAGTATTTTTATCAACTTTTCTGCAATCCTAAAAACAAAACACGATCGGCAATAAATTGTATACGAAATGGGAGAAATTAATTTCAAATTTCGAATGCGTGAACCTTTTTTTTTACATTATTCAGCCTAATAAAAAAGTATAATTTAATTTAAAAATATAATGAAAATAAATTAAAGAAACATTGATGAAGAATTGCACAACTACCAGCGCTAATGTCACGCAAGAAGATAGATAAATGTGTAGGCGCCTTGGCTTGGGCCGATCGTGCCTCTCTATCGCTCGTTCTGCGCTCTCGCTTGCACGCTCAGGCTCAGGTGATACTTTTTCGGACGTGCAGCCGGTATTCATCGATTCATAACACGTTATCACGTCAATAAAAGTGTCCTATAATTATTGTATAGTTATTTATGATATTAGTGTCGTAAGTTGGTTATTACAAACCAGTAGACAAATATAGGCGCGAGACGAAGTGTTCTGCGTCTAAAGTTAAGTTATTTATGAAAACGAGTATAATTTCAGAGTTTTTTGTGTAATGTGTAGGAAGGCCAAAGGGGAAGATCTTCCTCCGAGCTGGGTGATGTTAGCTCGGGGGCCGCGGCCCGACTGATGTCGGTCGGGCATCGTATATATGAAGAGTTAGCTTCCGAATTTCATTTGCGCGATGTAGGCTTCCATACTATTATTGATGGCAGTGCAGGTGACGCCATCTCTCGAGGATGGTGAGTAATGATTTCCTCCATCCGTTGTCTATATGTGGGGCATATAGATGTCGCCGCCACATAATGTGTTTGCTGCTTGTAGCAACCCACCTGCCTGGCCCGCAGCAGCAGCCTGTACCGCAGCCCCAGGGCCGGCTCCCACCGACTGGCGCCCTCCACCAGCCTCACGTCCTCATACTCCACGCCCCAGCGACGCGACGCCCACGCGATGCTCTCGCGGAGGACCAACTGTCACAATGCCAACGTTACAATCGGTTAAAAAGGGCGTACGAACCCACTACAACTGCTGACTAGAGCGCAGCTTCGAGTCTCGAAGACACCCTCTAGTTGAGCTGACCCCTCAGGTTCGAGTGGTCTGGAGGCTCCAGATGGAGAGGAAGTCCCCTCGTGGGGAGATGCCATCCGCCTGGAATACCTCTAGAGGCACTCGCCAATTCTCGGCTTGGGGTCCCCTTAGGATAATATTTTTGTATGGGGGTGTAGTACGTATGCCATTTAAATCTGTTCGCACTATTTCTATTTACAAGATTTTTAGGTTTCTCAAGTAAGTTACTCAGAATTCACGGTGTATATCAAAAATCAAAAGAACGTTATTTAAAATACTAATATTTACTTTTATTTTTGAAGTTATACTTCTTTAGGCGCGTTATGAAAAAATGATGAGAGTGAAATTTTAAGATGCGCGCGCATCACTGTAACACAAAATTTTAACAGCATGAAGTTCTAAAAATGAAAATCTACCAACAAAATAGAAATAGAATCTCTATTTAGTGGGTGCTAACGACTGCATTGTGAAGGCCTATCAAAAGTATTTATTAATCTGGAACAACGGAACCAAAGCGCGATTCAGGAGACTACAGCGCCATCTCTTGACCGTTGGTGTAGTAGAACCAAAAACCACATCTTTATTTTTTGTAATAAAGTAACAGTTATAGGTATTCATATTTATAATATTTATCCACATGTTTCTAGTTTGTATATTCGGAATACGTGTTTGAGTTTCATACAAGTGCAAATCACATACGTTGTAATAAATTATATTCAGTAGCGATTTTAATTGAATATTTTGATTATTTATTTATTTTTTCAAATTAAAACTGAACTTTATTGACTGTGTCCTTTTCCAGACTTTTTATTAATTTATTGTAATTAATTATTTGCATGCAATTAAAAACTAATTTTAAACGATGCCAAAGAAGGATAACTTCTCACGCGCCTACATAAGTACACGCACCCATTTTTTTTTTAATTTGTCTTCATTAATATACTTGAAATTCATCCATTATGGACCTATTAATAAAGAATTACATGACACTAAATGTACCTTTGTAAAAGAACAAGGTATTGGTTACCTGTACGGCTTCCTTCATAGACCCCTTGAGCGGCGCGATGGCGCGGTGATCGTCCGGCATGAACGAGTGCGACGCGTTGAACAACGTCCAGCGCAGGTGCTCGAACCTGGGACCGAGCGATACGTAACCTATTACTAACACTCCAACTGAGCCATTAATCAACGATAGTTTAAGAGGAGCTAGCGAACAAAACGGTATTTAATAAATAAAATTCTCGTGTCGCGGTGTTTGTGGTTAAACCCCTCCGAAACGGCTTTCCCGATTCTCATGAAATTTTGTGTGCATATTGTGTAAGCCTGAGAATCGGACAACATCTATTTTTCATCCCCCTAAATGTTAAGGGTAATCCACCCCTAATTTTTTTTTTTCAATTTTAGATATTTTTTTTTTAATTTTTTTATGATACAAAAATACATACATCACTAAATTTTCAACTTTCTACCACCAACCCCTATTTTTTATGGCGGTACGAAGTTCGCTGGGTCAGCTAGTAATTACATAAAATTAAATTTTACATAATAAGCTGTATAAAACTGAATGACATACGGAAAGGAAGTACGGAAGTTTAATTAAATCTGAACGCAACCCAACGTAATCGCATTTGTTGAATTGTAGCGTTTTCTGTGATTCGGTTTATAGGTCTGTCAAATACCATCCTAACTATGTCCACTTGATACGCCAAGTGGTGACAATCCAAGCGACAGAGTGGTTCAGCTACTGTTACCACAATGGACGAAGCAGATAAAGTCGTGTACACCGTGTACGTGTGTCGGGTCGAGGAACCGATCATTATCATTAGAGACTGAATTAGATTGTATTAGATTACATGTGCATTGTTTCCATGAGTAAAGTTGCTTTACGATCACGAGGGCTCGAAAGTATGAGATAGGATGATGTTTTTTTTCCCAGGTGAGATTTGAAAAATTGAAATCTCTTAAGAGGAGAAATGATAATGACAGATTTTGACCCACCATATACAGTAATATTAGATTTATAAAAAAATATATACGACTTTTTTTCTCGTACCGATTTAATTATTACTTTGTAAAAGCGGCGGATACGAAATAAATATTAAAATAATTTGTATCTACTGTTTCCGTTAGGAGAAGAAGGAAAACATGGCATAAGCGTTTTGTTTCACAACAAACAATAAAATGCCAATCAAGTTTTCGAAAAATAACGTTCTATTTTTTAATAATATGGATAAAATAAGCGTTTCGGTTATAAATATAAATAATTTATGTTTATAAAAAAGTTTAACGATTATAGTACCTTGTATTTTTTATGCGCATACACATTATTATGTAGTAGTACCTATGTGAAACTAAACGTTATTTTGGATTGATATCCTTTTGATTGACATTTTCGTCAAACAAAAGGATTTGGACGACATTGTCGTTTGTGATTTGGAACCATGTTGAGATGCATAAATTGTTATTTATGTGTCGATAGAATACAAAGGCATGTCGTTTATACAATATCAGCTACAATACGGACGCTGTTGAATAATTTATAAAAAATCCAATTTTCTGCTCAAATTGCAGCTCGAGAAACGCATGATAATTGTACTCTTTGTAAGTATATTATTCAATAACCACAGCTTCTAGAGAATTTACAACTTTACTATTTTGATTCCTTATATTACAGCTATGAAATATCATTTATCGCATTCGTGTACACCATTTTTATTGGGTGGGTTAAACCTCTATAGAACTTCTGGCATTGTCCTTTTGTCTCCATATATTGGTAAGGCAAGCGGTAAGTAGCAGAGTCAAATATGCAACAAAGGTTCATCAGGTTTACATGACAGAATCGTAAGCTAACATCCTCCACCTTACTTTCCCAAGACATCTGCCGAACAACAGTTATACATTTCTTAATGGCAATAAAAACCCCTCCCCCCTGCTTGTTTAGAAGAACATGTACTCTCACGACCTCTTCGAAAAACATTATACCTTGAATCCATTGACTCGCCATCGTAAACACTATGCCAAAATTTGTCTCCGTCAAACAAATAATTTCATATTCATTATTCAAAATATTCAATTTGTATGTCAAATTGTCAACACTTGTAACCTGTTAATTGAAATGAATTTATTGAAAATCGATTTATCGAAACTTTGATCTAATATCACAGCGATCTATTGAAAATCGATTTAATTAAAGACAAAGACACGGCTAAGAAACTGCCCTTAACGTGTATTATTTCGCAGTAGCCCGTAACTTTACAATATTTTTTTATTAATTATTACGTGTTTATTATTCTCATAGAACTTTCGTGAAATAATCAAATATTTAAAAGTATAAAAATTTACTTCATGTCTGTTTAAAAAGCAAAATGTTCCGTTTTACAAAATAAATGAACAATAAATTGACACAAAAAATATTTGTGTAAGTTTATCGAAATAAACAATATTATTTCTAAACTCTTTCAAATTATGACATATTTGGCCCTAATTTTTATTATAACAAATCACGGAATGCCTAAAATAATAGATTTTATTATTCTGATCAGGCTTGAGACAAGGCTGTATGATAATTAGTCCTTTAGTTTTTGCAAATTGCAATTATGTCAGGCCGACGATAACAAATTATTTGTATTCATTTTTGCTTTAAAAAACAATTTAGTGAAATGTTAATCAGAGAAACGGGAAGAAAGATTATAGGAAAATGTGAAATCGATGACTCTGTAAATAATTGGCAACATCGTATCAGCTTAAGGTAACGACATAGTAGGAGTTTTCATAATTTTCGAGATCGTAACTTTAACAAAAGTTCCTGACCCTTTTTTCATAGAAATTATAAATATTCAGCCATTTACCATTAAATATTAGCAATCACAGTATATATACATCGCTAGGCAGTCGCTCATACAAAACTTTACCATGTCCTTTCAACGAAATGGCAAATCGATTAATAGAGTTTTCGGTGAATTTTCACCGGCATTGAAATCCCTCCAGGATCAGCCCTCAAGCCGGCAGGCCGCGAGGTATCAGCGATCCCGGGCGAACGTTTAGGCCTAAACACCACCAACGGTCTTCTCAAACCGGAAGCTGCGACGGCAGCCCTTTTATGCAACCGCAACTAAAATGCACTAACCTGTTTTCCGGTGTAGGCGGAGCCAGTCCCGGATCGGCCCTCAAGCCCGCAGGCCACGAGGTGTTAGCGAACCCGGGCGGATGGTTGGGCCTCAGCGCCGCCATCTGCCGCCTCAGGCCGGCAGCTGTGGCGGCAGCCCTCTGTAACAGCCTGCGCGCCGCCGCGGCGTGCAGGCGGTAGAAGTGGGCCGGCTCATGGACCGGGTAAACCGTCACTGCGTCCGCCAGCGTCGGGGGGATCTGCTCCGGGGAAGACAGGCGGATCGAGGTGTACGTCTCGCCCTGTTTAGCGACAAATTCAAGTTTTTGAAAACCATCTTACATTATTATTGAAGTGAAACTTCTTTATCGGCGTTGGAAAAAAATTTACCGTCACATTTTTTCGGACGTTACGCGTCACGTTTTTTGGTTACTCGCCATCTTTTTTTTAAAAGAGCACTGTTTACCTCATCCGAACGATTGCTTCCTCTGTCAACTTTAAAAACACACAAGGTGAGGTAAGGTAAGGTAAGGTGTAGTCATATACCCCTTTAGTGGGTGTGTTTTTGAAAAATCTTAGCGCACGCCTATATATATATTTCTGGAAAGTTGCATGTAGATCATTTTTCGAAAAAAATAAGGCCATAAAGAAGTTTCACTTCTTACGTGTGTACACTAGTACACGCACACATTTTTTTTCATATTTAAGTACTGTCATGTTGAGTGGCAAGGCATTTAGTACTGAAAATATGTATTGGTGTGGCGCGTGTAAATAGCCCACACCTGGGGTGGATTACACCGAAATTATAAATTATGTGGTTCATTACCAGGAAAAAGGAAGCGCCCGCTTACCTCCAGGACGATGGATTGCGTGGTCTCCGACGGGCGTAATTTGAGGCGGCCGGACCCTGCTTTGCCGTCATTCCGGAAGGCGCATGTCACAATTATATTTTGTACATTCTCACGAATATTTCAATGATCTCAGTGTCCGAGAGAAAAGTCGTATTGACAGTTTTTGAAGGAAGAGAGTAAAATCACCTTTTTACACGAAAGGCACCATAAACAATGTCTGTTCCGGTAACCAGCCAGTGCCCTCAGCCACGGCGACATCGATCCCACAGATAAGTGGGTGCGAGAAGTTTTCCTGGTATATCGCCACACATAATAAGACAGAAACATAATTTTACCAATTAAACTAAAACCATTCTTATGGCGCTCAACCATGTAAATATAATATTAAGCGTCTAGGACAGGGATGAGTAAACTACGGCTCGCTGACCATCAAACAAAAATCAAGGGTACTCATCAAAAAGTTTTTTTTCACATATTCCGACGGGGTAGCCGTTGCCGAATCTGGAACATACTTATTTACATTCAGTGGTGTATGTACGAGCCCTTGTCAACTCAGTACATTGAATTGCTATTTCTTGATATTGAAGACAGGAAAACACTTGATAAACTTGACGAAAATATTTATTATTAAACTTGATGTAACTGTGTGCACACTGCTTGAGACAAACGCGAACTAACTTGGGCGTGATTATGAAATGTATTTAAACGGTAAAATATTGACCTAAACAATTAAATGCTTTGCTTGCAAAATGTACGATTTGATCGTACAGTGTATTAACTCTGCCGCTCTGAGCTGTGAACTGAGCATCATGGACATTCGTTACTATATTTGATTTAAATTTAATTAACAATTTATTTTGTTTGCAAATCGTAAGTGGCCAGAGCAAAAACTCTGATAGTAAATATTGTCATGATGAGAAGAAAGTTTGCCCATCCATGGTCTGGGCTGTGTAGTGTTGTGGACGCAGTAATGGCTTATGCAATTATCGGAGTTATCGCCTGGCTGTTACTTCGATTCTCGAACCCATCCATGAGGAAGAAACATCGTGGGGTTTTAGTCGATAGGCCCGTGCGTACCGACTAGGAAAAAACTTGTTTTCGTCTACTAGATGGACAGGGGAATGATGATATATATGAGATGATGTTCCGACATTTTCGTGTTCCAGTGAGCGAGTATGCATCATATAGTATGTTAAGAAAGGGGCTGTGTACAGATCGCGGCACCTTAACTCTAGCGCTGAACAAAACGCGACTGGAGAGACAATCGGCGCAACGCACGCCAACACATCTTAATTTTTACTTTTGCGCAATAACGACCAGCGCTAGAGTTTCGTGCCGCGTCTTATAGTGTCGGGAGTGGGGAGTGACCTGCAGGGCGGCGCGGCACCGCTGCTGCGCGGCGTGCAGCACGCAGCGGCCGATGTTCTCGTGGTGGGGGGGGGCGACTATATAGTGTGGGGAGTGGGGAGTGACCTGCAGGGCGGCGCGGCACCGCTGCTGCGCGGCGTGCAGCACGCAGCGGCCGATGTTCTGGTGGTGGGGGGGGGCGACTATATAGTGTGGGGAGTGGGGAGTGACCTGCAGGGCGGCGCGGCACCGCTGCTGCGCGGCGTGCAGCACGCAGCGGCCGATGTTCTCGTGGTGGGGGGGGGCGACTATATAGTGTGGGGAGTGGGGAGTGACCTGCAGGGCGGCGCGGCACCGCTGCTGCGCGGCGTGCAGCACGCAGCGGCCGATGTTCTCGTGGTGGGGGGGGGGCGACTATATAGTGTGGGGAGTGGGGAGTGACCTGCAGGGCGGCGCGGCACCGCTGCTGCGCGGCGTGCAGCACGCAGCGGCCGATGTTCTCGTGGTGGGGGGGGGCGACTATATAGTGTGGGGAGTGGGGAGTGACCTGCAGGGCGGCGCGGCACCGCTGCTGCGCGGCGTGCAGCACGCAGCGGCCGATGTTCTCGTGGTGGGGGGGGGGCGACTATATAGTGTGGGGAGTGGGGAGTGACCTGCAGGGCGGCGCGGCACCGCTGCTGCGCGGCGTGCAGCACGCAGCGGCCGATGTTCTCGTGGTGGGGGGGGGGGGCGACTATATAGTGTGGGGAGTGGGGAGTGACCTGCAGGGCGGCGCGGCACCGCTGCTGCGCGGCGTGCAGCACGCAGCGGCCGATGTTCTCGTGGTGGGGGGGGGGCGACTATATAGTGTGGGGAGTGGGGAGTGACCTGCAGGGCGGCGCGGCACCGCTGCTGCGCGGCGTGCAGCACGCAGCGGCCGATGTTCTCGTGGTGGGGGGGGGGGGCGACTATATAGTGTGGGGAGTGGGGAGTGACCTGCAGGGCGGCGCGGCACCGCTGCTGCGCGGCGTGCAGCACGCAGCGGCCGATGTTCTCGTGGTGGGGGGGGGGCGACTATATAGTGTGGGGAGTGGGGAGTGACCTGCAGGGCGGCGCGGCACCGCTGCTGCGCGGCGTGCAGCACGCAGCGGCCGATGTTCTCGTGGTGGGGGGGGGCGACTATATAGTGTGGGGAGTGGGGAGTGACCTGCAGGGCGGCGCGGCACCGCTGCTGCGCGGCGTGCAGCACGCAGCGGCCGATGTTCTCGTGGTGGTGCGCCGAGTACGAGTTGCGGACGCACCAGTCCAGCTGGCCGTGCACCGCGCGCAGCACGGAGTTGGACAGGAGGATGCCGCCCTCTGAGCGAGGGAGGGGTTGTTGCTCGTTAATAGCTCTCCGACCGGCCCGACTTCATTGACGTATAAAAACAAATACACTCCCGATCATCTGACGAAAGTGCATGCATCAAAAATCGATCGAGCGGCTTTCTACTTCATAATCATAATCGTTTATTCGGTTTAGGCTGTTACGAGCACTCATGAATGTCTAGAAGCTACGCCATCGGTTCGTAAATCTACGGCGGGAGACCTTGTACTGAGAAGAACCGGCAAGAAACTCAGCAAGGGCTGTTTTTTTCCCTGTTTTATTATTTACAGAGTCGTCAAATTGAAAAATGGCTTCAGAGATGATTCATGAAGTCACCTTTCATTACAAAATTATTAAATATACATTAATTGTTTACCTGCATTTTGATTGCTGTGTCATACAGTATAAATACAAATAGCGTTATATATTAAGTGTGACTAAACATTAACTTCAATATTAAGGAAGTTAGGGCAGAGTCAAGTTATACAGATAATGTTAACGCATTTATCAATTAAAAACTTTATATCATGACAGTAAGGTTCAATGTCAATTGTATACGAGCGCGAATTTACAAACACGACTGTTTGAAAATGAATATGCGTAATCTTGTTTTCGTCACTTTTTAAGCGCGATTGTGAGTATACTTGTTTTTATACGTCAATGATGTAGATACTGGCATGATTCTCGAAACTTAAAATTAAATTTAATATCAGCCTCTCCTTTTCGGTCTGCATAGAGAATGACAAGGATACACTATTATCAAATTTAATAGTAGTAGTTTAGGCTTAGATATTCATACCAGAATTGACACCTATGCCCATCATATATTAAATTTAAAAAAATCAAAAAAACCAACTGTTAAATTATTACTTAATATAAAAAGTGAAAAGAAAAAACAAGTCCAGTAGACTAATCATTCTGTTCAGTAAAAAACAAAGGCACTTCAACAGTCGGGACCCATTAGATATTCAAAGATATTTTTTTTCAATAATGGGTTCCGACTTGTGCCCTACTAAAATTCGCTTTTATTTGCAATTTGATTAGCAAACAATGTAATTTTAAAATAACATTTACGATATTCCGTTTTTTAACATTTAAATCCTTTTTACATATCTCATTGTTTTTGGTTCATTTATAGGTTCTGATCACAAGTCTGATTTTAGTGAGTGAAGGATATGAAAAAATAAGCAATAAAAAGGTACATTTTCTATTGTGACTATTTCACAAATTAAGCCTTCTATCTAAAAACTACCCAGTCTTAACAAAAGTTGAATAAAGATCTTGTGGCACTTTAATGATATTGACGGAGGGCGTTGCTGGTGAATTAAGGATAAAATAGGTATGTGAAATATCCTTATCCTCCCTTAGGGAATGTTATAATTTGCAATAACTCAGAAAAGGCTAATAAACACCTTCCTGTATAAATAATAAAGGGTTAAGTTCGGATTTTGACTACAAGTCATAAGTTATTAAACTTACCCAGAGTGCAGTAATGACTGTCATCTTCAGCCACAGTCCCCATATACACATCCTGGCTAACACTCAGCTTACTGACGAGATCACGCAGCCGTCTCGCATTCACAAACGAAGTGTCCGACACCAGGAAGAAGAAGTCATATTCTTCCAGGCAGTTGTCAGCGAGGTACTTGAGGGCGTGGAACGGTTTGAGCATTTCGCGAGTGTCCGTGAATCCGACGACGTTCGGTCGAGGGGGCACGGCGCCCGCGGCCGCCGCTATGAACACGCGCAGCGGCTGCAGTCTGGATGCTGTGGCGTTGAGCGCTGCCGTGCGAGTTGATAATGCTTCTTCTGAAGACAGCACTCCAGACATAAGAGACCCTGAAAGATAATTCAGTACATACAATTATTATTATTGATTCTTTTTGTTCATTACAATGCATTCATCCCACAATCACCAATTGCTTCATTATGTGTATAATGTCAGTAAGAAACTACCAATATTTTTATTTAATTTTGAAGTCATGAATTCCACCACCAAAAACCACTTTCAACATTAGAAACAATGAAATAGCATAAACAGATATAAGTACAAACTTTATAGCTTACTCAATAGATTGTAAATTATTTTTTATAAATGTCAATGTTGGTTAGTGAAATTAACAGTGTTGGTCAACTTGACCTACCACTGTATGTACATGCGAAGCAGTTTTACAAACAATATTACAGTTAATTCTTTCATATTATTATTAAATATTAATTAACCTTTTTCTCATTTTAATCTAAATTATCTAAGTAGAAAAATACTGTCTAGCAAAGACACAGAATGAAGTGATTTATAGGTCTTAAAATTGTATTGTAAGTCTCTGTGCAAAATGAATTTAATGAGAAAATTAGAGTATTGTTCACTCAACATGATAGTAATAGCTACTTACATCAACATCTCTGTAAAGTAAAAAAAAAAGAAAAACATAAATTTACTATCTGTATTTACATTATGACTGAAACACTGAGCCTATATATCTATATATTTAAATTAATATTTTAATAAGACTAAAAGCAGTTTATTTTGAAAACATAAAATTAAAATTTTACATAAATTTTGTTACCGTTCGATTGTTACCTACTACTATTAACAAACCTATCCAGAAACACAAATATACCTAAGTTGAGTGTTAATAATCAGAAAGGTCAGTGAGCCGCCTTAAGAGAGATCTAAACAAATTCACCATTAACTATCAAGCCCAATTTAAACCAGATTTAAATACCATATAAGATTGTTTGCTGCAATATCATCAATTGTATATTATTTTTAAAACTCAATTTTTAGGATACAAACATTGTCTAATACAACTATTTACGGAAATTTATAATTAATATCTATTTGTTGCATACCTCTCATGCCCAGTTCAGTGATGTAGTACCTAGGACGCTGTACACTACGCCCTGCAACGGGACCTGCGGGCCCTAACGGCCGGGCCTCTCGGTGAGGTTCATACTCGTCAGGGGCGGGCGCTTCGGTAGCTGGACACGCCACTGGGGCCTCCTCGAACGGCACTGCCACCAATGCCAGCCATAACCCCAACACCACACCCACCAGGAAGTAAGAATTGTGCTTCACTTGCGATACGACAAAACGTGAAAACATTGTTGCTTGCTGTGCGTTATTTTGATCGCATTCGGTGTTCGATACAGAAAGGTTAAAATGAGATTTTTAGACAAGTATGTACTCTAGAGATTAGGTTCACTGTTACAATTTAATTCTAAGCTACGAAATAAATGCCCGTTATCGTTTCATTATCATTTTAATCAAAATAAATTGATTTGATTGAGGCGACGTTACGTTTCACGAACTTACGTCAAATTTGACAGTACCGTGACTTTATTTTTTATAAGATTCTCTCTTTCCAAGAAAAGCAAAGGGAGTAATGCTCATACAGCCTTATTTTTATTAATCCTCTTTTTTTACAGTAGAAAGGCGGTGTGACTCATTCTAACGTTTCTTGGAGTATTTGGCACGAAATTTATCGAGTTGGCTTTTTCGATAAACTTCTGTGGTAGTCAACACTACAATGGAGTTCTCACGTCCACTTGACCGGAACAGCATATATTTTAAAGATTCCACGGTAAAAATTTAGAAATAAGTCGCCCGCTTTGAGGTTTGCGAGGGAGGGGAGAGGAGGGAGAGAATTAAATCCTTGGGCCCTGGAAGTACAGTTTAGCCAATCTGTTTTCTTCAGCGAATGTCACACACTGAAAAATGTAGTCAAATCGTTAAAATATCACAAATTATAACGCGGGAGCATATTCACGAAAATTCGAAAGCAACGGAATGAATGACGCACAACGTATCTGTCAAAATCTACATTCAAAATGGCGGTTTGCGTTTCGTTAAACGCGTTTATTTTAATTTTGCTATAGAGACAACAACTATAACAAAACAAATATAATAATTACGTTCCGTTCCACTCATTTACAATTTTATGTTACGATTTTTTGAAAACAGTTTTTAAATATTTAAACGCAACTCCGGCAACCATGGTTACTTTAGGGAGTCAAAAACGATATTACATCACCCCTTACACATCCAGTAGCCTCAAATTCAGGCGACTTGTTTTAAAATCCAACCCGTTGGAACACAAAATCACCACAATTTTATTTCACAATAATATCCACTATGAACGAATTGAATGATAAGAATAATTAAAAAAGACGCCAACCGCACTTGATGAAATCCCTCCAAAAATTCCTGACGTGACTTGACTTTTGACGTGATTTTGTTATTATATTTTTCCTTTATGGCAAAGAGAACAATAGTAGATACAGCCAAATTTTTAATGTTTTTATTTCAGTGTTATTAATAAAGTAAGGTTTTTGGCGCGATTTCAAACACTAAAAAAACATGTAATGACGAATTAAGAACCTCCTCCTTTTTGAAGTCAGTTAAAAACAAACATTATGTAAAACACTGTATTTGTTAGTATTGTATTGTATAAAAATAAAGCGACTGTGCTTATGACCACACGATTGAAGTGCAACATCTTTAGCTCCAATAATCTGAAAATCTTAAACTTAATCTGAAGATTTGTTCATAGAAAAAACAACCACCACTATCATCAGCATAACTAATATCGTTCACACAGACTCCGTCGATGTGACAATCTACACTAGTGCCGCTGAGATCCCCAATGAGCGAATTAATGTAAAGATTGAAAAGACGTGGTGAGGTTATTCCTCCCTGTCTTACGCCACACTCAAGCTTGTATGCACTAGAATAGGCACCCGTCCATCGAACACTATTTCTCTGATCACTGTACCAGTGTTTAAGCAGCGATATACATGATGGTCCAACTAGTGACGTCAACAAATTTTTTTTAGATTCCTCGCACCTAGAGGTATTCGAAAATACCCCATGTGTGTTCCGCGATTTTTCTTAGTTTTATTAAAACATCATTCAAGACAATTATTATTATGTCACAAAAAAAAAGACTGCAAAATACGTACTACGAAAAAAGAAAAGAATTTTTGAAACCTTGCTGGCAGAAATTATTAAAAATACACAAAAAAATTATAACTTGCAAAGTAAGAAAAATCGCGGAACATACATGGGGTATTTTCGGATACCCCCAGGTGAGAGGAATCTAAAAAATGGTTGCCTGTAAAGTCGGTTTTACGGGCGAAGATTTTACGTGACAACGTCTTTTTCTCGGTAGAATATTTATTGATATGAATATAATTAAATTGCACAATAGGAACAAGGAATTGAATGAAAATAAGAATTGCACAAATTTTAACTATAGAAATATATTTTGTTTACTAAAACATTGTACATGTAAACTTAAACTTAACACGAGAGACTCATCGTAACGTTACCGAGCGTTACACTTTTTCATAAGTGACTCCCAGCCGCAACCTAATTTAAGACGTTGTCACGTCAAAAAATTTGTTGACGTCACTAGTTGGACCACCCAGTATATTCATCAGAAAGGCTGGTTTAAGATATGATACCAAATCAAATGCTTTCGACAGGTCAGGGTAACAAGCGTATACCGGTGTTTCCCGAGCCGTATAATAAATGAACAGTCTGCTCAGTCAGTCTCAGACAGTCTCAGTCAGAAAGCAAAAAATTGCACTTTCAGTTGACAGCCCAGATTTGAAACCAAATTGTGCGTAGTGCAAATGTAAATGTTTGTTTAAGCGTTTATCAAGCAGACTGTCCAAAACTTTCGCAATAACAGTGGCCAATGAAATTGATCTATAATTTAACAGTTCCGATATGTCACCCGTTTCATTTTTAACAATGGGTGTTACAATAGTATACATTAGTTTATCAGGTAAATAGGAATGATTCAGACACAGCGAGAAAAACATTACAACAATAAATGTACGCCGGTATTTTGCAGATGCTCAACACTGAGGCCATCGTGGCCTGGGGATTTCCCCCTGTGGGCCAATCGCCTAACCAGATTGCTTTGGAAAACGCTATCGCTTACGATTTCATTTTGTTATTTCTAACCGCCGAAGGTTTTCAAATACCTCACACTCATTTTCTTTAACATTGGTATTACCAATGCAAAAGAAAAAAAAAGAGCGCGAGGCATTTGAAAACCTCAGGCGGCTAGAAATAACAAAATGAAATCGTAAGCGATAGCGTTTTCCAAAGCAATCCAGTTAGGCGATTGGCCCCCAGGTCATGTTCTTAATCACAAACGCTTATTAGCTATGCATTCTTAAAAAAGCTTCAGTTTTAAATAAATATCGATGCATCGCGAACTTAAATTGTTACTAATATAATAATATTTTGAGGTGTCTATTTTGCTGTGCAATAAGTATTTTTGCTTAGGATTGGGAATTATTTTGTATACAAAATGTAAATTTTTTGATTTGCAGTTATATACTAGCCATTTTTTTATGTAAAAGGGTGGCAAACAACCTTTTGGCTCCCCAAATGGTAAGCGGCTTCAATAGCCGCTTGCGATACCAAATATATACCCCGTTGCTTACCCTGCCCCAATCATCCCGTCCGGGGAATGTTGAAACCTTATACCGGCCATCAGTGTTGCCAGGTCTCCAGATTTTACAGGAGATCTTCTGTTTTTTTGAATTTTCTCCTGTTCTACTGTTTTTCTACATGAATCTCCTGTTTTTCTTAGAATACGATTTTCTTTTGTAAATTGCATGTTGAGTTGCAATTTCGGCCATTAATAATGTAGGTAAGCTAATTTATTTAAAAAAAAATCGAATCGTGCAAATCGAAAAAAGTACGCCTCAGCATCTACTGTTTTTTTTCTATAACACTTCCCGATTTTTAAAAGTCGAACCTGGCAAGACTGCCGGCCATACACACTACGAGAAATCGTTACGATTAGACTGTACAGTCCGAACGGTACCGATAAATCGTAGCGTGTATGTTATAAAACTGCACAGTTTCCTATACTAAACGAAATCGTATAAACTGTTCCGTTCGAACTGTACAGTCTGATCGGAACGATTTCTCGTAGTGTGTATGGCCGGTATTACCCACCGACTGAAACACTAAACCACTAAAAAGTAATTGTTATTTTACTGTGATCTTCTTTGAGGTGGCGGTTACTTGTCCAGAAGGGCGCTCTAATTCGAGCGGAAAATCTGCTGTGAATTCACTCATAATACGCATAAACCTATGCGCTGCACATGAAATCACGCAGCGAATATCTTTCGTACGTTGAATTCTAAACACATCCTTTTAATAGACAAATAGACATTATGTGCCAAGAAATGGCTCACTTCACGTCTGCAATTTTCCCGCGTTAAGGAAATTGTTATATTTTCCTAATCGCAGTAAGCCGGTAAATTGATTCGGAAACTGGTGGCCGGTATCTAATCAGTCAAACACGTCGATGACTCAGTCTTGCTAATTGTTCAATGAAGTAGATATAAGGTATGCTGCTTTTATCTATACTTATAATAAATCTGTAGAGATGTCAATTCTGTACATGAAATATATTTTTAAAATAACTATCAGGGGGTGATTAGTGATCGATACTGATGCCAAAAATGCAATCAGTAAAATTTTTGTCTGTCTGTCTGTCTGTCTGTCTGTGTGTATGTTCCTTATAGAAACAAAAACTACTCAACGGATTTTAACGAAACTTGGTACAATTATTCTTCATACTCCTGGGCAGGTTATAGTATACTTTTCATCACGCTACAATCAATAGCAGCAGAGTAGTAAAGGGAAATGTTGGGAAAACGGGAGAAGTTACCTCTGTGAAGTTAGCCCCCCACTTTTTGAATTTTATTATTATCTAAGTTGTTCTGGGTTGTTCTATGTTTGTTCTACATTGTTCCAAAGTATTATTTGAAAAAACTAAAATTTGAAGCTGCCAGACAAGAAAAACCGTTTTTCTGTGGTAGCCCCCCATGTTTGGAAATTCAATATTTTTTTAGTTGTTCCAAGTTGTTCTAGTTGTTCCGAACATTGTTCCAAAGTATTATTTGAAAATATTCAAATTTGAAGCTGCCAGACAAAAAAAAAACGTTTTTATGGTAGCCCCCCATGTTTGGAAATTCAATATTTTTTTTAGTTGTTCCAAGTTGTTCTAGTTGTTCCGAACATTGTTCCAAAGTATTATTTGAAAATATTCAAATTTGAAGCTGCCAGACAAAAAAAAACGTTTTTATGGTAGCCCCCCATGTTTGGAAATTCAATATTTTTTTAGTTGTTCCAAGTTGTTCTAGTTGTTCCGAACATTGTTCCAAAGTATTATTTGAAAATATTCAAATTTGAAGCTGCCAGACAAAAAAAACGTTTTTATGGTAGCCCCCCATGTTTTGAAATTAAATACTTTTTTAGTTGTTCCAAGTTGTTCTAGTTGTTCCTAACATTGTTCCAAAGTATTATTTGAAAAAACTCAAATTTGAAGCTGTCAGACAAAAAAAACCGTTTTTCAGATAGCCCCCCATGTTTGGAAATTCGTTATTTTGAAAGTTGTTCCAAGTTGTTCTAGTTGTTCCTAACATTGTTCCAAAGTATTATTTGAAAAAACTCAAATTTGAAGCTGTCAGGCAAAAAAAACCGTTTTTGAGATAGCCCCCCATGTTTGGAAATTCATTATTTTTTTAGTTGTTCCAAGTTGTTCTA